TTTTCAGGTTAGTATTATTAACAGTCTCGTTTGTAATTTCTTTTGCAATTAATATAATTTAAGTAATAGATAAATTACTTTTTAAACTATTATTTTGTTAATTTGCCATCTTCAAAATGTTAAAGGCGATAAAAACAAAGCTATAACATTTAATAACTCATATTTTAGTCTTTACGGGATCCGGATGGTAATCAGTATCATCCATACGAATACAGTCTTCAACAATCTGCAGATGGGAACGTTTTATTAGTTCCCAGAAATCAGACGAATCCGCACCAGTCACGACAGTCTTCGATGGAGCCGAAGACCAAACCTGATCCTGAGCACAAGGAATGAACTGCTAAAGGATCATATGCCAATGTGATTGATTATTGAAAAACTTCTGTTTTTCTTGGACAGCGCGTCCAAAGCGTAATGGAAGCAAACACGGTGCTGGGGAGCGAATATCGTACGCATAATTAGATTTACTGCGTATAATTCGAAAAAATAGAGTTTTTTCTAATAAAATAGAGTCTTAGACTTGATATACCTCGCACTGTGTCCAAATAAACAACGAAAATTCGAGGATACCTGCTTACAAATCGCGACTTCTACGCGGTTTCTGACAGATGACTTTTTAACATATTTAGAGATTTTAGTAGGAAGAAAGATAGGATTTAATAATCCTAATATGATTTTTGTGTGCATGGGTGATGCTACAGTTTTCAGTTACTTTGACTATCCGTGTTAATATATTTTTTCACCTCCAAAAATCATAACTTCGTGCATTTTCTTTCCATTTTCATAATCAAAGATTTTTATATTACAGAAAGGATAGTATCGGGTAATGTTGTATTTGTTTGTATATAATGTATCTTGTCTGTTGTGACTGTCTTTAATAAGACCAATAATTAATAATAAAATAAAATCGAAAGCTTATTCATAAATTTCCTATGCTTTATTTAAGTTACATTAATATAGGATCTTATGTTTCAAGAGTCTATACTGGCCTTGTAGCGACACTAATATTACTTGTAAAAAAAATAATGAAATGTGTTATAGTACGCGAGTTTTTCTGTGATTGCCTAAACAAATCACGATGTCTATAACTATTAATACGTAAATAGTAAAAAAACGTAGTAAGATGGTTATCATATTGTGGAATCACACGAGAACTGTTGTGTCACCATAATTAAAGCAACTCTAAATTAACCTCTTATTCCAATTACTATTCTTCCTGCTTTAAGCGTAAAATATGCTCGTTATTTCTTAATATACGTAAACGTGTAATACGTGCAGTGATATATTATACATTCAAAAAGCTCATTTTTTTTACATTCACAAAGCAAATTTTATCGCGTTTGGATATTATCGTTTTTAGGAATTGTATCTATGATGATGATATATGGTATATATAATATAAATTTAATTATATATACCATATATGTATAATTGAATTATATATATTTTTGAGGTATAAAAGAGCACAAGATTGCGTTAAACGTACCTATCCAGTGATTCTTACATTTATTACTTATCTAGTTGATTGAGTCCGTGATTATTGTTAATGGTTGTATTTAATTGCCAAAATTATGACACACTTTCACAAAATATCGCGAGAAAAGCGCTATGACATTGAGTACATCGTACGCACGTGACCATGCTAGTAAAATAAATGTTAACTACGCGCGTATGTATTATTAAATAAACTTTGTTGTGTTATGAACTTAGAGACTACATATGATTTGAAATGCTTACAGTTCCAGAAGTGATAGCGTCATGAATACATAATGCAAAATTGTAATTGCATTTAATTGAAGACAAAGTAGGGGTAAAGCGATAAAAGGCAAATGATTGAGACATTGGAATGTAGCAAACTTGCAGTAATTAATCTCCAAATCTAAGCCATTTGTGTTCCATATAGGAAGCAGCTTAAACAGATCTGATAAAAAAAGTCTATATGATCAAATATAAATATATATAATTATGTATAAAATACGTGTGTGTATGTTTTTTCTTTTTTTTTGTATAATCTCTGTTCGTATATAAAAATAATTAGAGAAATTGAAAAATAATTAGAAGGCTAATTTTTACAATGTTTCTTTTTTTATAAAAGATACAATTTAAAAAAATAAAAGAAATTATTCATATAATAATCATATATAAGAACGTATAAAATTGTACATGTTATTATGTATTGAATATTATATAATGTTATTATAATTTTCTTTTTATAACGAAAAGCAATGCAAAGATTATTTTTCTAATTTTTTTCTTTGTCAGTTCTTTTTAGTCTTCTCATTTTTTTATATAGATATTATATATATATATAATTATATATGTATTTATATTTAATTATATATAGTTTTTTTATTGATGCTTAAATTTCACTCCATTCACATAGACCACAAACAAAACACATTGTAATGTATATTACAAATAATATAGAAAATAATACAAGTATGTATGAACATACATCTACGACGCGCTGTAATGCTACAATATATTAAGAATAGCATTCATTGAAATACATGATGAAAAAACATCATGAAAACACATATTTTTATAAAATAAAGAGATGAGAAATGTTCAGGTATTTCACATTTGCCTTTTTATGTATATATTAATGTAGTTAGTATAATTTTCTATAAATATTATATATAAATATATATATATATATGAAATAAATGTATGTATTTATGTATATGTATGTGTATATATAAATACATATACACAAAGATTCATGATAAAATATATGTTATTATAATGTTAAAAAAACGAACGAAAATGCAGTTTATGTCGGTAATTATTAATAATCTGCTCCTTATTAACATTTACATACGCAATTGTATTCATACTATTGGGTGTAGGATGCCTTTTACATATTGTACTTAGCGAGCGGAGATCTCGGCAAACCATTGTAAAAGATAATAATATTAATTTATATAAGAACTCTGTTCGTCTATTGTACAAACAATTTGGATTCGTCCAAACTTGCAAATCCATCTATTTGCAATGAAGATCTCCTTCTGTCATTAAATTTCTATATTGTATAAATAAAGCTGAATAAAAACCTCTGGGGAAAGTATCGTATCTAGCTTGTACTTGTAATTTATCAGTATTTATTTTTTATATAAACATTACTGCGTTAATATTACTATAAAAGCGTAATAGCTCATGATGATTTTTTGATCAAATTTCGATTAACTCGTAATAGGAACACTTATTTTTTTAAAGAAATATGTTAGTCTCTGGGATTCACTGAAATTTTTTGTTATTTTTAAAGTTTTAACCATATAAAAAATTACAACTCTTAAACTCTTAGCTAATTAGTCTACATGAATAGAACAATATGAAAAATGAGATTGTGAAATATAAAATTATTTCAAATTATTACATTATTTATAAATTAAGATATTCCAGGATAATTATTTTTAAAAGTTTTTGGAGTCGCTGAAACACAGATCATTGATTTGAGAGACAAAAAAATTAATTCAAAATGACAAATCTATTGATGGATACAAAGAATAAGATATATATTTAAATTCTATAATTAATCTAAGAAAATATTTTGAAATTACAATGAAAATAATTTTTTATATTTTCCGGTAGTATTAAGTTACCATATTTTTTATTAAAATTTAAACGATTCCCTTTAAAATATTCCTCATTGGACTCGATAGTTACAACAATTCATATTTAAGTGAGATATGAGATGTGATTTTTTAAAATGACTTTAATGTTGAAATATATATTTACATTTCATTAGATATATGAAAGATTCTACACAATCGTGATTAATTCAATCAGTAGAATCGCTTAATTAACAAAATTTTTAATTTTTAATTATTTATTATATATTACGTCGTCTCTAATCTATCTTTCCATGTGTGAGACAACAAATAATTAATAGCTGCGCTAAGCTCATATTAATAAATACTATACAGGTGTTACTTGGGGAGCTTTCTATTTGATGATACAAGTCAACACAAGAGTCATTCTATCTTTGTTACTCACTGTACCAACAAACAATAAAGATAGAATGATGATTGTGTTGACTTGTGTCACCAAATGAAAAGTATCCCCGATAATTTAAGTTAATCGATAAGGGATTTGATTAGTTTTTGGTCGAAATCATTCTTATATAATAGTGTGCCTAATTAAGATGTTGTTATCGACTCATCTCTCTAAGTTCGCATAATGGAAGAAATATTAGGAATGGTAGTAAATATTATAAATAATATTAGAGAAATAAAACAATTAAAAATAAAGATCCAATGTGACGCATAATGAATACAAATGAGACACAAGATAAATAATATGTCTCATATATTATTTGTATCCATTGTGCGTTACGTTGAATCTCTATTCCTATAGGTTTTATGTTTCTCTAAAATTTAATATTTATTCTTATTCCTAATATTTCTTCCATTGTGCGCAAAGTTTTAGATTCGGTTATCTAGGAAGCATTTAGAATTTAGCCTTGCTTTCCAGCAGGACACAGTCAGACAGTTTATCCTGTAGGTTAAACAAAGACACCTATCGTATAGGTCCCGGACTAAGCGCGCGGTGTAAACGTAGCCACTGTGTAACACAGTGAGTCGTTTCATCCTTGTTTAACGTTGGCAAACAACAAGGATAAAACGACTCATTGTGTTACACAGTGTCTGACAATAGCTACGTTTACACCGCGCGCTTAGTCTGCGACCTATACGATAGGTGTCTTTGTTTAACCTACAGGATAAACAAGGACATTTATTGTTTAGGCCGCGGCCTAAATGCACGGTGTAAACATAGCCTATGCCTTGCTGGAAAGCAAACTAGATGGGGAAAAGCTAGAAATTTATTTTCAAACACACACTTTGTTGATTTCGAGACCATTCGATTCGAGACTTGTTCTAACTTGCTCCAACTTGCTCTCATTTTCAAGTTGATTGGTTGACAATTGGTTGATTCCAATACAGCACAACACAATTTCAACTTTGTGAAAAAATTAATTCGAACGCGAATAAATAATAATAAGAATAACAGGACATTGAATATTCTAGTCACGTTTATTAAAAGACTGTTTTCTATTTGCGTTCGATTCGATCAGTATTGATCAGTATTCGCATCGATATTTGCATTTAGGAAAGTGTGAGAAGGTTGCTAGGATACCTTGCAGGGTTACTCGTTTATTTAGTGTGTAAAATGACGTCTGACTCGTGGTTAAAGATAATTCAGAATGCCAGGAAAACTGCTGTTATTGAGGATGGTAATTAAATAGTTTATAATATTTGATTATTATCGATCGAAACGTGTGTTTATATGACGCCTGTTTCTAACCTAAAAATGTTTGATTAATAGAACACTCGTGTAATTTTATAGCTTGAACAGCATGTAGAATTATGTTAAAATATCATTATGGACTATATAAGCTTGTTATTAATTCTGTAATATCTTCTTAAATTGATACTTTTTAGTATTTTTAAATTTATGAGTAATATGAATTTATCTTTCATATTTTCAGTATTACACATATTTAATTTGTTTCTATATTCTGTAACTCTTAACAACAATGTTGTTACATTGTCGTTGCACAGCTTTTTTTATGTATTTTTATTTTTTATATATATGAAACCTGCATAATATATAAATATCGCCAACATTGTCTTTAAGAGTTATAGAATAAGGGCTGATAAGAGAGTAACGCAGGAAGTTTTTTATTGATTTTGTTATGTTTTGCAGGAAAAAGGAAAGTTCATTTTTTGATGGAAGATGGGAAAGAAATGGTAGAAGAATATAGTACAGATACAAATGTAGTAGTACGACGAGCATGGAAACAAAAAAATGGTTTCGGTACGAACATTGGATGGATGGTAGAAGTTGGAGATCCTGAACTTAAACAAAATAATATAGAAATCTATGGAATAGAAGAAAGTTCAAATACTGTATGTCATTTTCTTTTTGTATAAGAGAATATTTAATTGGATAATATAGATATGGTGAAATTTTAAATAATATCTAATTATACAATGTGTGTTCTAAGTTAATTTTCTCTTACAGCCTATTATTACAAGGAGAATTACAAAAGCATCCCTGGAATGGCGAATCAGGAATTTGTCATATCCTGAAAGCGTATATTCTATTACTGCGGAACATGATGGCACTATGACTGTACGTACAAGTAACAAAAAATATTTCAAAAAGATAAAGATTCCAGATCTTGAGAGGATTGGATTAAAGCCAGAACAGGAAAGAATATCATTTCGGCATCAATATAATACTTTGATTATAACGGTATGAAAAATACTTTTTCATAGATATATACTTTGCTAGGCATCATTTATTATTTATTTATTTTATTTCTTTTTTTATTTTAGTATAAAAAGCCTCCTCAACTTCTCGACGTGGAAAAAAAAATATTAGCCGCAGTTTTGCAACTGAAGACAGACTCTAAGGACGTACAGTGTCCGACTAGTTAATAAAATAAATTGTGATTATATCAGTTATTTTCAAATTTTACTAAATTATAATTTGTAACAAGTGCAATTATTATGATTAAATAATACCATTTGTTACTTAAAAGTAGTATTCAGATTTTCGTGATTAAAATCTTCCATCCTTTCACTTAGTATGATAAAAAATAAATTATATTGGAATTCTTAAATATGTTTCTCTTTCAATCAATAACAGTTGTAAAAAGATATAGCTAAAATAACATGACTATCTGGAAAGGAACAGTTGCAACCTTGCTTATTTAAGTTATAGTTTTTAATTGTAATTTAAATAATGGAAATAAATTGTACAATGACGTTTTCCAAAGAGAAGGCTTCATTTTTTTTCTATAGTAGCACCTTTTTCTAATATTTAAAAAGATGTTTGTATTAGAATGTTTACATGAAATATTCTAAATACAGACTTTCTTTTTCACATATATGTTACCAGAATTTTCATAATTGCAACCTAGGGACTTTCCTATGAATATAACTTGTTAGTATTAGCATTCCAATTAAAATGTACTGAATAAACGGACAACGCGAGGAAGATTCTCGGTTTCTTTTAAAGTTCGAGAAATGCTCATGTTACAATGAATGTAAATAGAATATTCATTACATCATTAAAGATATCCGTAAGCAAAGTGACACGAGTAAAAAATACAATTAAATTTATTCATGAGAGAGGAAAAGAATCGTGTATTTCAAAATTAATTAGTTATAGCAGTACTAGATATATTTAATCACAAATTGTTTTCGATTTTCAAGTTTAGAAATAATGTAAACATTAATTTTGTTTTAATATTATATTAGACTAAGAGATCCTTATTGAATAATTTTTCAATTTTTTAATTTCTATTTATATTCAACTTGTTCACTTTTCTTAGTTTCTAATTTTAGAATACAATATAATACAAAATTTGAAAAGTTTTAACTTGTGTTATTTTTCTTGCGGAGATGCGTTATATCGAAATTAAATTTTTACAATGTAATCAAAATATGTCAAAGAGAGTTTATTAATCTCTTTATGAATGACCTCATTTTTGGGGGGCCACTTTTTTTTATTTTATAAAATGCTCGCTCGATTTTTATAAAACTTTGTCTATGGAATAATTTGATGATGCTTCAAATGTAACATCAAAAAATTCAAAGTAGCGAATTTAATATGACGGACAGAATTAAAAAAAACTCCGATTACCAAAATTATGATATATATTATCAAAATTAGGAAATTTTTAATAGTGCACTGAAAAACAAGATTGGCTGCTGCAGCAAATTAGATGGTAAAATATGGCATAGCATTTTTAATTGGTTGCAGCAGTCAA